TTATTATTATTATTATTATTATTATTTTGTATAAGGGTATTTATGTCTTTAAAACCTATTTCATTTCTATTCTTTTAACCAACCAAACACTGGAATACAATTACTAAAGTCTATTCCTTCAACCAACCAAACAACAGAATACAATTCATATTCTATTCCTTACATATTTCATTCCCTGTGAAATAGCATTCCTATTCCCTCCAAATTTATTCCGTGAACCAAATATGCTGTAAGAGTTTTGAAACAAATATTTACTATTTTGATAACAAAACAATGTTTAAAATATCACTCAAGTATATTTTGAAACAAAACTTGGATACCAATGTTAAATGTTAAAATAAAAATATTTTTTCATATAAGGAAAAAATGATATAATATTTATCAATATATCTATATAACAAAAGTATTTTGTACAATATGAAAATATGTTCACGTTTAAGATCGGGCTGCAGTCTCTAGCCCTTCCTGTCGCTTTGCAGAACCTCACTTTCCAGATGGAAATGCGTAGGCGACTGAGGGAGTATAAGACCGGGCTGCAGTCTTTGGCCCTTCGGGTGCGCCAAACTGAGGAGGCTTTCCTGGCAGAGCAGGCTAAGCATGCCAATGCCAAGTCGGTGGAGGTGCACACCTCCGAGATGCTAAGGGTCACCCGTCAGTGGGAGGAGGAGCGGGACAAGGTCGCGACTATTGCTGCGACTTCGGTGGAAGATTACAAGAAGTCGGCGGCCTTCGAGATTTTATTATTAATAAAAATTTCTTGCTTTTTGCTTCTTTCGAACGGTCTTGGCCTCGATCACTCTTTAACCACTTCGTGATTCTCAAAATCGAATTCCTCAACCGGGGCGACTCTCGAGGTTCGCAAGAAACATTTTCAAGGATTCAAGTATCCACCTCGGATCTTACCTCGCTGAGTCCCTTGGTCAAGGCGACTTCTCTTTGTCTTCTTCACGGAAACGACTAAGGGTCTAGGCCCGTGTTCCCTATCTTTCTCGCCGAGTCCCTCAGTCGAGGCAACTCCTTAGGCTTTTTCTTTTCTTAGAAACAGTTTAGGATCAATGCCCCGTTGTTTCTTTATATGCTCGCCGAGTCCCTCGGTCGAGGCAACTCCTTTTGGCTTTTTCACGGAAACGACTAAAGGTCTGGGCCCTTGTTCCCTATCTCTTTTGCCGAGTCCCTCAGTCAAGGCGACTCCTTAGGCTTTTTCTTCTCTTAGAAACAGTTTAGGGTCAATGCCCCGTTGTTTCTTTATATACTCGCCGAGTCCCTCAGTCGAGGCGACTCCCTTTGGCTTTTCCACGGAAACAACTAAGGGTCTGGGCCCTTGTTCCCTATCTCTCTTGCCGAGTCCCTCAGTCGAGGCGACTCCTTAGGCTTTTTCTTCTCTTAGAAACAGTTTAGGGTCAATGCCCCGTTGTTTCTTTATATACTCGCCGAGTCCCTCAGTCGAGGCGACTCCCTTTGGCTTTTTCACGGAAACGACTAAGGGTCTGGGCCCTTGTTCCCTATCTCTCTTGCCGAGTTCCTCAGTCGATGCGACTCCTTAGGCTTTCTCTTCTCTTAGAAACAGTTTAGGGTCAATGCCCAGTTGTTTCTTTATATACTCGCCGAGTCCCTCAGTCGAGGCGACTCCCTTTGGCTTTTTCATGGAAACGACTAAGGGTGTGGGCCCTTGTTCCCTATCTCTCTTGCCGAGTCCCTCAGTCGAGGCGACTCCTTAGGCTTTTTCTTCTCTTAGAAACAGTTTAGGGTCAATGCCCCGTTGTTTCTTTATATACTCGCCGAGTCCCTTAGTCGAGGCGACTCCCTCTGGCTTTTTCACGGAAACGACTAAGGGTCTGGGCCCTTGTTCCCTATCTCTCTTGCCGAGTCCGGCAGTGTTTGGCCGTAATCCTTTTATTCAAGTTTCGAAACTTAGGTGCTGGTACATGGCTAACCTCTTTCTACTGGTAGAATTTCTTCAAATGGATGACGTTCCAGATCCGGTCTACGGGCTTGCCCTCCAAGGTTTCAAGCTTGTAGGTGCCGGCTTGGACCACCGCGGCAATACGGTACGGTCCTTCCCATTTGACTGCGAACTTGCCCCCCTCCGTGGGTTGACTCGCCTGCCGGTCTCGTAGCACAAGATCTCCGACTTGGAAGGTTCGTGGGCAGATCCTTCGATCTCGATACCTTTTTACAGTTTGTTGGTACTCGACCATCCGGGCGGCTGCGGCTTCCCTTCTCTCTTCTAGGAAATTCTTCTCAATTCGGAGGTTCTCTTCGTTCTCTTCATCGGAGTAGGTGCGGACTCGCTGAGTGGGCTCTACGACTTCTATCGGAACCTTGGCCTCGAAGCCGTATGCTAGGGAAAACGGGCTCTCGCCAGTCGCTCGTCGTTGCGTAGTGCGATAAGCCCATAGGACTCGGTCAAGCTCATCCGCCCAATTCCCTCCGATGTCTTCCAACTTCTTTCGGATCCCGTCTACTATGGTCCGATTCGCATTCTCCACTTGTCCGTTGGCCTGAGGGTATGCCACGGATACCTTGGTGTGATGGATGTCGTGTCGACGACAAAAGTCGGCGAACGCTTGACAGTCGAACTGTCGTCCGTTGTCGCTAACGATATGCTCGGGCAGGCCAAAATGGCAAATCACCTTCTTCCATAGGAAGCGTCGACATTGATATTCGGTGATGGTGGCTAGAGGCTCGGCCTCGATCCACTTGGTGAAGTAATCGATGGCCACTATGCAGAATTTCAAGCTTCCCGGGGCGACTGGTAACGGTCCCAATAAGTCGATTCCCCATTTAGCAAAAGGAATGGCCGTGGTGACCGGGGTGTAAAAGGTGGCTGGCCGCGTGTCCTTCCTGGCGAAGGCTTGGCACACGCCACACTTCGCTATCCACTCGATGCAATCCCGCATCATGGTCGGCCAGTAGTATCCTTGGACGACTAGTTTTAGAGCGAGTGTGTGGGCGCCCTGGTGGGCGGCGCAGATGCCTCTATGGGCTTCATCCATTATCTTCTCGGCCTCGGGCCTGAGTAGACATTTCAAAAGAGGACCCCCCGAATGATCGCTTGTACAGCTGCCTATCGAGGATTTGGAACGAAGGGGCTTTTCGTCGAATCTTAGCGGCGACTCCTGGGTCTTCGGGCAATTCGCCTGTTTCCTTAAATCGTCGGATATCCTCGATCCAGAACATCTCAGGGTTCTTCCCCCGATCCCACTCTGAGTGAGTCACCTGCTGGACTTCCGACGGCATCTCCTCGATACTCGGCCGACTCAACTCTTCCTTCTGGCAAATCTTAATGAGGTGATCCGGCACCCCTTCCAGTGCGATCTTGGACAGTAGGTCGGCCTCCACGTTGTCTGTCCGATAGATATATTCTATTTCGTAGGCCCTGAACTCCTTTAACATCTCCACCGCCTTCTCCTTGTAAAGGGTCATCCGAGCGTTCTTAGCCTCACACGTGCCAGAGATCTGTCCTACTACCAATCTAGAGTTAGTTTTGATCTGCAGTCGTTCTACTCCCAGTGCCTTGACGAGTCGAAGACCGTTCAACACTGCCTCGTACTCGGCCTCGTTGTTGGTCGTTGGGAACGAATAGCTCAGTGCGTAATATAGTCGGAACCCTTCTGGTGTAATTAGCACGACTCCGCCCCCGCAACGTTGTCGACTGGCGGCTCCATCCGCGTGCATTTCCCACCATTCGCCGAAGTCATCTCCCGAGGTGCGTACCTTCTCTTCTTCGCCCGCTGTGCACTCGACCAAGAAGTTGGCCAAAGCTTGGCCTTTTATGGAAGGCCGTGGCTGATACTCAATCCCGTACTGGGTTAATTCCACGGCCCACTTCACCAGACGTCCGGACGACGAGGGGTTCCGCAAGACGCTCCCCAATGGTTGATCAGTCAGCACTCGGACAGTGTGGGCTTGGAAGTAGGGCGCCAACTTGCGCACGGTGATCACCAGCGCGTAAACTATCTTTTCCAAGGCTGAGTACCGTGTCTCGGCGGCTTTCAAGGAGCGGCTCACATAATATACCGGGCGCTGGGCACGCTCCTCTTCTCGGACCAGCACCAAGCTCACAGCCTTCGGGGAAGCGGCCAGGTATAAAAACAGAGGCTCACCCTCCTGTGGGGTGGACAATACGGAAGGCGTAGAAAGGTATTGCTTCAATTCCTCGAACGACTGCTGGCACTCGACTGTCCAGGCGAAGCCTTCCTTCTTCTTCATGGCCTCGAAGAAAGGTATAGTTTTATCCGCCGCCTTACTCAGGAAGCGACTGAGGGCTGCCAGTCGACCCGTCAACCGTTGCAGGTCTTTGACGGAGCTGGGGGGTTGCATATCCATGATGGCTTGGACCTTCTCGGGGTTAGGCTCAATGCCTCGCTTAGTAACTATATATCCCAAGAATTTTCCACCTTGCACCGCGAAGGCACATTTCTTTGGGTTCAACTGAAGGTTATATCTTATCAACACTTGAAAGCAGTCAGCCAGATCCTCCGCGTGCTTGCTCTCTTCCCGGCTTTTGACGAGCATGTCGTCCACATATGCGGCCATGGATTTTCCCAACAGATCTTGGAATAGTCGGGCCACCATCCGGGTATAAGTAGCTCCGGCATTCTTGAGTCCGAATGGCATGACTCGATAACAATACACTCCATCCGGTGTCAGGAATGCGGTTTTCTCCTCGTCTGCAGGATGCATGAAAATCTGGTGGTACCCTCTGAAGGCGTCCATGAAGCTTAACAGGGCCGACCCGGCGGTTTCGTCGACTAGCTGATCGATCCGAGGCAAGGGAAACGGATCTTTCGGGCAGGCCTTGTTGAGGTCGGTGTAGTCAACGCACATCTGCCAAGCCGGGGGCTTGGGTACGAGAACTACATTTGCCAACCATTCTGGGTACTTGACCTCGCGAATGTGGCCCGCGGCCAACAGCGTGCTCACCTCCTTCTTCACAAACTCCCTCCGATCATTGGCGAGATATCGCTTTTTCTGCACAACCGGCCGATGGCCGGGATCTACGGCGAGTCGATGAGCAATGATGGATCGGTCGACACCAGGCATGTCCTCCGGACCCCAGGCAAAAACCAGCCGGTGCTCTCAGAGCACTCTAATGACCTCTTCTCGTACTTCTTCGGGGAGGCCGACTCCAATTCGGACCCGCCTATCCGGCTGATCAGGATCGATCTCAACTTCCTCCAATTCCACCGCCGGCTCAGGCGAGGTATCATCGTCTTCTTTGGGGGTATTTCCGTGATTTCATGGACCTGCATCTCACGCTTGCCCATTCCTCTACAGGCTTGCAGGTAACAGTCGCGGGCGACTCTCCTGTCGCAACGCACCGTCCCTATCCCATTGGGCGTGCGGAACTTCAAGCAAAGGTGCTCGATGGAAATTAGGGCTCCTAGATCCTCCAGACCTGGTCGGCCGAGTATAGCATTATGCGAACAGGCCAGATTCACCACGATGAACTTCATACTGAGTTTCTGTACGTCGGGATAACTGCCAATCTCGACTGGTAGAGTGATGGATCCTTCTGCCTCCACCGAGTCCCTTGTGAAACCAGCGAGTGGAGTTTTGACGGGGTTCAGCTGTTCTCGTGTTAATCCCATTTTGGTGAAAGTCTCGAGGTATAGCACGTTGACGCTGCTTCCGGTGTCGACCAGGATTCGCCGAACAACCACTCCGTTCACATCCATCGCTATAACCAATGCGTCCCGATGCGGTGTCTCTCCCGCGGGTAGATCTTTGTCAGTGAACGTGATCGGTTCTTGGCACGCTTTCTTCGAGCCTTCTTCACGCCTGTATACCGTCCCGACGTATAGCTGTCGAGCCCAGGCCTTTCTAGTATTCGCCGAGTCGCCACCCTCGGGCCCGCCGACTATCATGTTAATAACTGGCTTTTGACGCCACTGGGCTTCGTCCTCTTCGGAAGCCGGCTGCTTACCCCGATCGTTCTCTGCGGCGGCGGCCGGGTCTCGATCCTCCCGGTTCGCCGATCTACGTCTCCACTGGTTAGGGGGCGGGGTTCCTTGTTGGATGATACCTTCCATGATCTTCTTCAAGTAGAAGCACTCTTCCGTGCTATGAGTATAGGATTTGTGGTAACGACAGTACTTAAGGGTCTTACCTGCCTCATCGTTTATTGCGCGGTCATCGATCGGCGGAGGCGGAGGCGGAGCGACTGCTTGTATCTCATGCACTGGCCATTCGGGAACCGGCCGATAGGGGTGCACGATGGGCCTGTCGTATGGCCGTCTGATCTCGGGTCGCCGGGTTGCCTCCGGGCGCCTTTCCTTGGTTTCAGCTCGCGTCCTCTTTCCACTGGCGGATCCTCTGAGTTCGCGCTGTCGTTTGTGCTTCATAGCCTGCTCCGTGTTGGCCCTCTTGTTGGCCATATGTATGGCTTCCGCGTAGTTGGCCGGGCGGTTGTCACGTAGGTGTCGGTACAACTGCCCGGATCGTAAAGATTCGATGAAAAAGGTGAGCGCGGTCTGATCTTCGACCTCCTCTATAGACTGAATTTCCTTCTGCCAACGAACCAGGTAGGTTTTCAGGGGCTCGCCTTCTTCTTGGTGGACATCACCTAGGAGAGTCAGATCCTTCTGTGGCTTGATGTTGGCCGCATAATGGCTCATGAAACAGTCGGCCAACTCCTCGAAATTGTGAATCGACTCTGGTGGCAGCGCCACTAGCCACCTTTGCGCGGAGCCTTTCAGCGTGGGTAAAAAGGCGCGACACATCACCAGGTCTTGCACTCCCAAGACCTGCATTTTGGCCGGATAACCAAGTAGATGCTCGCACGGGTCCCCTGATCCATCGAACGTAGCTTGCTCCGGGAATTTGAAGTCGCCGGGTACTTTGTAGGACATGATCTCGGAAGAGAATGGTAAAGCGGTGAGCAACGTCTGCCCGGGAGATTTGGACTTACCCCTCATCTGCTCTCTCAGGTCTCGTACCTCTCGGGCCAACTGAGCCACGTCGCCTTCATTGTGAGTGTGGTTTCCGGTGGACTCTGTGCTTTCGCCGGCTTCTGATTCGGCCGGTTGATCATCACGGCGCGTTATGCGCTCGGTCCGTCGCGTTCGAGTTTTGGTTCTCCGAGTGCGAGCTCTTTCCCGACCGGTCTCCTGGTCTCGAGGCCCTGCCGGTACGCGGCGGGGTTCCCTTTCTCCTAATCGCTCTCGTGCAGGTTGCCGCCCAGCATTCGGACCCAGCCTTGAATGGACTGATCGCACTGGTTGGCTCTCTGCCCGTCGATTTTCCTGTCCGTCTTCTGGTCTTTGGGACAATTGCTGACGGCGGGGCATCGGTCGAGAAACCGACTGCTCCCTCGCCCCTCGACTTGCGTCGGCGAAGGCTCGCCCGAGCGCGTGAAGTTGCTCCGGGGTGAGGGGTATTATAGGCGGTTACCCGTTCACCGGCGCCGTTTCGTTTCCTTGACTTTGGGCATTTCGTTGGTTCAACTGCTCTCTCAGGTCTGCCTCTACTCCGCCGTTTCGGTTGTTCGCTTGATCTCGCCCTTCCGACATGTTCGTGATGCTTCTTCAGTCGACTTTGGGACTCGCCCTACTCAGAGAGTCACGTAGCTTTTCATTTCAATCCCCACATACGGCGCCAGTGTTGGTTTTTAGGTTTTTGGGCCCAGGGAGGTCCAACACAACCTTAGCTGGTGGATTCACCTTTCACACAAAATTGCAAAGAAATGGCAGTACTCGTAATTGCTTTCAATGTGTCTCTCCCTTCTCTCGGGATGAACTTGTCTAGATTACAAGGGTGGAGGAGCCTTTATATAGCAGGCTCCCCTCCTACCGACTTGAAGGCCATTAATGGCTAACTTCAAGACTAGTTACAACCATCGAGCCGTTGGGTGCCGTTACCGGATCGGCCAACGGCTCCTTGGATCCGTAACAGTCTGACCGGGTCCTGCCTTGAATGCCTCCAACGGCTCCGGGGCCAGGTCTTCTTAAATAAGGCTCCTCGACGCTCGCCTAACGGCCCTGAACCGTCTCTTCGTGGACTTGGGCCTGGACCAACTCCTGGACTCGGTCCAAGTTCTCACTGGGCTTCTTTCACTGCTAGCCCACGTTCCTTGTCTTGGATTCCCTTTTTGGGCCAACCTTTCTTGGGCCGGGGTTCTCACCCCATCAACAATCATCTTATATTCCATTTGTATATTTATATAACAAAGATAATAATAATAATCATAATCATAATATATTATTATAATAATAACAATAACAACAACAACAACAACAACAACAACAACAATAATAATAATAATAATAATAATAATAATAATAATAATAATAATAATAATAATAACAATAATAAGAGTAATAATAATAATACTAATAAGAAGAATTGAATATTGAATAATAATAATAATAATAATAATAATAATAATAATAATAATAATAATAATAAAAAATCTTGAAGAGGCAGCCAAATGGAAGAAGATTGAAGGAAAAGCTTCAGGCGTTAAAAGAAGAAGAAAAAGCATCTTAGTAGCCAACAGGGTTTAATACCAAGACCTCACGCTAGCTTACACTGTTCATTTGTGTATTTCCATTCTTCCATTTGGAAACATTGGAAAATGGAGATGGAAAAGATTGGAAAATCCAAAATCCATTTGGATTGGAAAATGGAGATGGAAAAGACATTTGCAAGAAGAAATTTAGTAAACAACTTCTCCATTTTTTATTTTTTCCACTTCTCAATTTCTCCATTTTTTGGAAAATCCTCCATTTTTCCAAGTTGGTAAACGACCCCATTTGCTTCTTCTTCTTCGCGTACCATGCTCACTGCCATCGTTGTCCTTGCTTAGCTCCGGCGTGTCTCCGTCGTCCACGGTGCCGCTTTTGTTGTCGTCCTTGCTCTTCTTCTTCTTGGCGCCCTTGGGCGCCGGAGCTTCCTCGGCCGCCGCCGCCGAAGCAAGTGGTAAATCGGCAAATATAATTGTGGGCTCTCCCTGAGTCGACTGCGGTGGAGTAAATGCTCACTGGCTGGGATCTAAAGTAACACCTTTTTCATAATAGTTTAGTAAAAGCTGTTGGCTAATTGGGGATTCCAATTTCCAAGTACGCTACAGTATTAATGTTCATATGTTGGAAAACACCATCAGGATAGCTCCATTTCTACAAGTCACATTTCAAAACCTTTAAAAATTATTAAGTTATCAAAACCTGCAAACCTGTAATTTGCTTTATATAAATTAAAAGCCAGAAACAAAAGTCCGCTCCCTTTTTTCTTTCAGCACTCTCCCGGCTTCCCTCCGTCGCTGCCGCCGCCGCTTAATATGTTGTAGTGGGCTTGATTGTAATTATCAGTAACAAGTTTGGCCGGTGACATTTTTATCAGAAAAACCAAGAATGGAGAAGAAGAACCAAGAAGAAGGATGGAGAAGAAGGAAGAAGAAGGAAATTACCAATTTGTCCCTAAATTAAAAAAATTAAAATGAATTTAAAGATTCCGATCATATTTGGCCGGTAATTTGACCGGCGTGACTAAAATTGATAAGAATTGCATAGTCAAGGTACTAAATTAACATTTTCGAAAGTCAAGTGTTGCAATTAACACAACTGCAATAGTCAATGGACCAAAATTGAAATTTTCTCTAATTTTTTTTATTTGATTAAAGTTTAAACTTTAAATAACATTTTAAAGTTTAACTATAACAATTATTTTTGTTTATAGTTTAACTATGAAGTTTAAATATTTCATATAACCATTTTAAAAACATTTTAGAATAAAAAATTTCCATAAAATAAAATAAAAAATTCAGTTCGAACCGAAACCGTCGATTCTGAAATCAGATACGGAACCTTTATACAAGGTTCTAATTCTGGTTCAATCAATTTTAAAATCGGGAACTGCCAATTTCGAACCGAAATTGAACCGTGACCCTACCTTTCTTTAGATAGGCACCATATAAACAATCATTATACCGTGCACCACGGCGCACATAGCAATGTGCGCCCCGCGCCTCCCAAAATAACTTCGTTTTATTAAGTTGTGCGGGGAATTGACGCGTTTATAAAATTCTGTACATTTTGTTATAAAATTCTTTACATTCTGTTATACAATTCTGTACATTCGAAACATGAAATTTTTTTTTTAAAGAGTTAAGAGTGTATGTATATTATGTTAAGAGTTTATGTGTATTATGTATTATGTTAGATTATGTGTATTATCCTTTCAAAAAAAAAAAATTTGTATTTTGTTATAAAATTCTGTACATTCAAAACATGAGATTTTTTTTTTTTTTAAATAATAACAGCAGACAAGCGAAATGTACAAAACGACGTCGTTTTGGGCCAGGACACACAATGCATTGTGCGCCCTGGTGCACGGTACAATTTGCCCCATACAAACCAAAGTTTAAAATCTATCTACAATCTATACATATACAACTAGTATTGCACCCGTGCGATGCACGGGATAAAAATTAAACTACATTATAAATAACATTTGAAATAAAAATATACATACAAATCTGCATTATAAAAATGTGAAATATGCAGTACAAAAAGGTTAAAAACAATAGTAGATAAAAAAAAGTCAAATACATTGGAATAATTATATATACTAAATTACAAATTTTTAAAAACCTCGTGATATACAACATTTACAGTTGAAGAAGAATACTCCCCATTCTCACTCAAAACAACCACTTTAAGACTATTTGGATTGTCAACTCTAGACAAAGCCACATACAATTGTCCATGCACAAAAACAGGTTTTTTCAGAAGTAAGCCAACATTTGTAAGACTTTGTCCTTGACTCTTATTTATTGTCATTACATATGACAACATTAAAGGAAATTGCCTCCTTTGGAACTTAAATGGCAATCGAGGATCAGACGGTGTCAATGATAATCTTGGAATTAAAACTCGTGTACCCATACTACTTCCTGACATCACTTTCGCTTCAACAACATGATCTCCCAATTTAGTAATGACTAATCGCATACCATTACACAAGCCAAGAGTGTAGTCAATATTGCGCAACAACATAACTGGAGATCCAACTTTCAACATAAGGCAATGATTTGGAATACCCGAGCATTTCAACGTGTTAAGAAACTCTGTTGTATGTAAACCAGCTAAAGTGTCGACACCAGAATCTGATTGACAAACAGAATCAGAACTGAAATAAGTTCTAATAGCTGTCGGATTCAAGCCACTCATGTAATCATTGATTTCATGCACTAAATCCAAAGTTGGAGCCAAAATAGCTCGACCATTAAGAGATTCCATATCAAAATTACCTGAGCAAAATTCCGGGAATGTACTATTTACTATAGCTGATATCGAATCTCCATGTGGCCGCAATACATTTTGTTCCGGAATATTTATTACTGCACACCCATCATTTGGACCACCAATCAAACCATCACCTATACCAGCTATCCACTTCGAAAACGAATTGATATGTTCAGCACTGTCATCATTGCCCAATCTTTATAGTCTCAAATTCTTAGTCAATCTTAGAACCTTACAATTTTGCCAGAGATAAGAAGAATTGATGCTTGCTCCAACAATATCTTGTCTTGTTCCCTTAGGAATCACAGGCAGTATTTGTCGAAAATCACCACCAAGAACCACGGTTTTTCCTCCAAATGTCATCTCTGTGCTCAAAGGATTCACAAACCGTAATAAATCTCTCATAGTTCGATCTAAAGCCTCAAAGCAGTGTTTATGCATCATCGGAGCTTCATCCCAAATAATTAGTTTGGAGTTTATAATTAGATTAGCCAAGTCACTCTCTTGAGAGATGTTACATGTAGAATCTTCAGTTATATTAATAGGTATAGCAAATCGGGAATGAGCAGTTCGACCACCTGGCAAAAGTAGAGAAGCAATACCACTCGAGGCGACAGTTAAGACGATGTGACCCTCAGAACGCAAAGCAGCTGATAGTGTTTTCCAAACAAAGGTTTTACCAGTTCCTCCGTACCCATAAACAAAAAATAAACCACCCCCACCATTCGCAACATCACTAAGAACTATGTCATAAACATGCCTCTGTTCATCTGTCAATTTCTCGACCAAATTATCATGTTCAACTTTAAGAGCATCACAATCATATGAAAATTCTTCATCTAACAACTGATTTCCATGAGAAGATGAGGAACTCATATTTGGCAGAGGCATAGAGGGAAAGCAAGAAATACTTTTTCCAAATACACGTAAAAGCTTTTCAATTTCCACCAAAGCATAGTCTGCCTTTTCTTCATCTGTGAGGATTAAACCTAAAAAGGGAAATAAGATCTAAATGTTACTTATATCAGATGATCCAATATAGAACAATCATGTAAATAAAATGTATGTATTTTGAATCCTTAGAAAGAATATAAATAAAAAAAACCTGGTTTATCTAGTAGTTTCCGCTGGTTGAACTCTGCATCTTCAGCTAAGAATATCCATACTGCCTCCCAAACCACTTCTGGTCGAATAAGAACGTTTGAAGTAAGCATAGTAACAAATAGTCTCCTCATAGAAGTTGCAGATGCCCATTTACTTGCTTCATTAATCGCATCAACATATTCCTTGTCATCTGCTAATAAACCACGAGCATAGCATGCATCTCGAAACAAACTATACTGCACCCCCTCAACAATACGAAGATCTTCATAACATGTTGCACCACGAACCAAGTTCAACAAAAAGCTTAGATAATAAATTTCACCAGAACCTGGAGGAACAAAAAACATACGTCCAATGGCAAACCCCTTACGTCTAAGATGCCACTCTCTAACATCCTTTTTCCAAACAAATTTGTTGGGCATCTGACCATAAGTTAACTCTTTAGCTTCGAGAAACTTTTTATTAGCTTCAAACCAAGCTAAAAACATACTTTCTCCAACACTCGGGCGACTCAAAATATTATCAACACAATCATCATCGCCATAAACAACTAATTGTTGATTAGGCAAATGGAAACTCAATCTCTCAACTGCAGGAACTCTGAATTGAATGTCAAATCCGAATAAACGCCATGTTCCTTCGCAAGCAGATATGTAACGACAATCATAGAACATAGATATCTCATCTACAATTTGGCCTTTCTCTAAATCATCAGAACTTTTGTAGAAATGAGCTGTAACTCGATCATGCCCCTTGTTGACATACTTAAATAAGTACTTGATAGAACGGGATTGGTTACACCACTCAATATTGATATGTGCTCTATATTTAAGCAACAAATATTTGTTATGTGGTACAACAAATCTGTTATCCAGCTCAATTCCATTTTTCTTAACAAACCTTCCATCATCTCTTCGTCTATAAATTGGATAACCATCTTGATCAAAATTTGAAGAGTCTACAAACTTCTTTGGAAAATGTTTAGAACAACGACCATTAACCATACACGGAGAATTCTTCCTAAGATGACCACAAGGACCATGAATCATAAACTCCTCAACAACCCTATAATACTCACTATCTACTTCCTTGTCTGGAATTTCAGCTGAAATTATAGTATCAATATTTTGACATAAAGCTCGACCATCTTCTTGACTCAGAAATATCAATATATGGGCATGTGGAAGTCCTCTTTTTTGGAACTCAACAGTATAAATAACTACATAAAGAAGTATTAAAACAGAAATTAAAAATAAGATAAAAATGATTCTCATGTATATATAGGAAAAGAAAAATACGTACCTGTAGTTACATTACCAAAAACTAATCCAGAACGGATCTCCTTGATCAACGCATCCAATTTCATTTTAAAATAACCGACATATGATATCAGGCCGATCAACAGCACTCAAATGTCGCTCTCCCAAATACCTCTCTATTTCAGGCCACTTTGGATTACATGTAAATGTAATAAATAAATTAGGATAACCAATCCATCCACAAATTGCCAAAGCATCTTGATAGTTCTGAATCATATACCTAGCACCTCCAGTAAAGCTAGAAGGAAGAATAACTCGTTTACCATGAGGACCAGGCTCAATATCACCTCTTGTTAATGCATCAGACAATTCCTGATAAGTTCCACACCTTAAAGATTTTTTATTGGTGCGAATATACAATAATCGACCAGCTTCAACCATGGTGTAACCATCAACCAAAAATTGTTGAAATAATCTCCGAGCATATAAAATTGTTGAAACTTCTGATGAACGCTCATGAATACGAAAAGCAAGATACTCGCGAGGTGAAATACAGTGTCTAGATCCATTTTCAACTACTCGAACAATGTTGAAGCCAATATCCTCCATATAACCATCTTCACCATATGGAAACAACAGTGGATACTGTAATGGAAGATAAGCTGGATTGAGCTCACTAATCCTCTTCAACAATCCAGACTTTGTTTCCACTAATATATCTCGCTCACCGAGATGCGCATCCAAGTCCCCAACAATAAGTGCAGCAACTTCAGAAACTGTGGGCAAATTATATGTACGGGCATCTGTGCTACGCTTCCCAATCAACTTCATTTTAACTTCTACTCTTGGATTTGACTGGATTGCTTCTTTCACCATTCGAAATGACTTAACCAAAACATTGCACTCATCTAAAACAGCTTGAATATCAGCAACAATTTGAGGGTGTAAGTCTTGTACATCACTTTCATTCCTTCAAAATTATAAAATTTGCAAAGTAAAATGAATTTGAGAAATTGATCAAACAAATATATTATAAAAACATAGAAAACAATTAGTATACATACCTGACAACACTAATTCTATTCATAACTTCATTTGCAGAGTCATGAATGTATAGTTGTGCGAATTTGGCTGAATTACCTTCAGTGGGTAATAAACTCCCCATCAAATGAAAATTCTGACCGTTCAAGCGAAAGATTGGTGGAGATGATCCAGAATTTACTTGTTTATCAATTCGACCACCCATTGATGTAAAACTGAACATATTATTGTAAGATCTTATATTATGCAAGAAATTTTTACTTCTACGATCGCCACTAAAAAACAAATCAGATATCAACTTAGGCGGAGGAATGATAGGTGCCAACTTAATTTTTCCGTTACCACAACATATAGAATATTTAGGCAAACTATTCACCCTTACACTCTTTAATCTCTCATCATACCAAAACAATGCATCACAATGTTGACACTTAAAATTCGGATCCCCATTGTCTAAATACACACCTACAAAAAAAAAAAATGTTCACAAAAAAATGTACATATATAGATAAATGAACTTTTTGAAAACTTTAAGCTACCAAAGGTATACAATAATTTAAGAATTTATATACAATTAATGGTCATACAATAGATTTTCGCTTATTTTGGATAGGTTGTCTACACATAATTGATTGTCCTATTGTTAGTTGAATATACTACTATAAGAATAAAATAAAGCAATATATTATAACGAAAAATTAGGAAAAAAATACAAAAAATACCTGCATCAGTTATATTTGTTTTCCTTCGCCTTGAAACACTTGGAATATTCAATATGATTTTAGAATTATCAACAATGTCGACTGTATGATTACACACCAAACAAATCAAGTCAAAATATAAATTTACCTAACATTTAATATAACATTTTTAAAGAAAAAAAATAAAGGAATAAGGTTCAAATTGGCTACTGAACGTAACCTGAAAATGCAATTAGGCCACTGAACGAAAAAAAAAGTGCAATTAGGCCACTGAACACTCCCAAAATATGCAATTTCACCTGATAGCAGGTTACCCTCAATTTTAGCAGGTTATCTGCTTACGTGGCAGCTGAGTTGGCATTTTTAATAAATTTTAATTAATTTTTAATAATTTTAATATTAATTTTTTATTAATTTTTTTTTAAAAATAAAAATGACTTTATTTTATTTTTTATTTAATTTTTTCCAATTTTTTTTTATAAAATTTATTATTAAAATTAATTATTAAGAATTATTAAAAATGCCAACTAAGCTGCCACGTAAGCAGGTAACCTGCTAAAATTGATGGTAACCTGCTATCCGGTAAAATTGCATACGTTTGGAGAGTTCAGTGGCCTAATTGCACATTTTTTGAGTGTTCAATGGCCTAATTGCACTTTTTTTTTTTCGTTCAGTGGCCTAATTGCATTTTCAGGTTACGTTCAGTGGCCAATTTGAACCTTATTCCAAAAATAAATTACCCGCTTCAGTGCTAGTACTACCAATATGCCTATTCAAGCATTCAACATTAGAAGATATCGTAGTATTGATTTGATTGCCTACATTAAAGAAAATACATTTTATAAAATTTAAAAATACAAGATTTAATTTAAAATGTGATAAAATTACTGTAGAACTTACAATTTGTTAATACACTCAAAGGCGTATAAAGAGAATTTTCAAAGACCCCCACAGAGCATGATTTATGTGCATGAATCCCAAACCAATTGATCCTTCGCGTTCTGATCTGCTCAGGAGTTACACTATCCACATTCTCTAACAAAAATCCAAGATGAAATTGTCAACAATTTATTGATTCCCAAAATGGAAAATTTAAAAATAATTTCAAATTCATTATATGAAATAGACAAAATCATTACTTGTAACATTATTTAACGTAATATTTAATTGGAAAAAAAGGGAAAAAGTGTAAAAATGCTTTAAAATATATTATTATTATTATAAAGTCAATGCAAATATCGAGATGAACAATTTATAAATACAAATATATTGAAGGCAACTCAATAAAAAAATCACATATTTTATAAATATATTAACAAAAAAAAATCACACATTAGAACATAAGAATAACAAAAAAAAAAAGTAATATTAAATCAATAATGATAAAAATATTTAAATATTTTCAGAAACAATAACAATATTATGAATATTAATAACGCAATACTACTAATCAATACAACAAATTAAGGAATAATTATAATAATAATAATAATAATAATAATAATAACAACAACAACAACAACAATAACAACAACAACAACAACAACAACAACAACAACAACAACAACAACAACAACAATAATAATAATAATAATAATAATAATAATATTGATAATAATAGTAATAAAAAAAAAAACTAAAAAAGAAAAATGGGCCGAAACCCAACTAAACTACCCAACCCAAAACCTACCCAAACCCACATATCTAACCCGTTATTACCCAACCCAAACAATAACCCCAGAATTCCATCGCTCCACATCCCTCTCCCTCGCTCTGTCTCCTCCTTCGCCATTCACCAAAAATGTCGCGATTCATCCTCTCCTTCGCGACAACAGTACAATTCGCTCATCCCACCAACCATAAATGATTCACGAAATATAAGCCAACTACCTCTACTCTCTTCAATCCTTCAAGCTTCATCCTCTAAACCATGGAAACCCCTAGTCCTAGATGAAATACTCCAAAAATGGAAACCCAGAAATCGGAAGAACTGGAATCAAATCGTCTACTTTTGAAGCTTAAACTCGATCGGCAGTTTAAGGAAACAATTTCCCCACATGCAGTAAGTTTTAATTTCGATTTTCCCTAAATTAGTTTGCTTTATTTATATACTCCTGAAACCCTAATTTCTATGTATGCAGATGTACGTAGCTAAGCCCAGAAAGGAACAAACATACATCAATCAACAGCAAAGAAGCCTAAAAAATATCAACAAATTATAGGCAGAAAATATATACGAAAAAGATAAGTTTGCTTTAATTTTTTATACTTCTCATCTATATATTTTTTGTCTGTTTTATAAATTATTTCTACAAATATCTTTGACTAAGTGTTGATTCGTTTCTTAGTAGAATACTGATATGAACCCTAATATATATATATATATATATATATATATATATATATATATATATATAATGCTATATTTACAATTTGTTTTTAATATCAACGTAATATATCAAATACGTCCATTCTAAATATGTATTTCACAATTTAATGAATACGCAAAGAAAGAAAAAACTACAATAATAATATAACAAACAGTTATAAAATTTATTGAAATGAAACATTATAATATTCTTATGAGATTAAAAAAAAAATTTTGTATACACACAGAATTTAAAAAATCAATAAAGATTAATGTGCAAAAAAATTTAATAACCTGGTTCAAATTTATACTCCAAATTATATAAATATCCATAATTAAACAAATTAAAAAGTTAATGTATATAAATTTATATTTAAAACTATATTTTATTATAAAAATTATTTTGTATAACTGGGCCAATCTATCTGAATATATATTATTAGATAGATATATTATACCCAAAACACTGGCCCAACAGATCTTATAAAACCCGACCCAAACATAGCCCACCATATAAAACCCCCCAAACCCGAGTCAGTACAACCCTACCGCCCCATTTCCTCGCTGTCTCTCTCGCAGCTCTGCCCTAAGCCTACCTCCGTCGACGAAGAAGGAAACCAGGCAAAAATACCAACTCGAAACTACAATCCGACTTCCATACTACCAAAATCACTTTAAAAATCCTTCATTTCACCATTCCAAAACCATTAGAGAATTTACCCACATTGTTCTACACAAATCTGATTCGAAATGCAGATACATTTTCGAACACTATGGAGGCAAGAATCTACAATACATGGTAATTTAATTCTAATTTCTTTCAGTTATCTATATATTTTTATCTAATTAAATAAAAATCTTAACCAATTTCAGTTATCTATATATTTTTACCCACTGTTCTACCCAAATCTCGGTCGATTTCCAGATATCATGTTCGAACACTATGGAGGGAAGATTATACAATACCTATTTTTTCTCTATTTTATGTCATTTATGTATATATATTTTTTCTAATTAACCGCAAACCCTAACCAATTTATACGCATGCAAATCAATTTCGAATCTGGAAAACGAAAATAAAGAGGATTTGAGCTCTAAAAAATATAAGTTTTTCTCTAATTGTAAAAAATAAATTCTCACTTAAATATTCCAGTATTTTTCTTCAGATTTTGTTAGTTGTACTTAAATTATGTCATTTTCAAATATGTGTTCTTCTAATTAACCACAAACCTATTTTGTTCGCAGGTCAGATCTAATTTATTGTAGATAAACAAAACTAAGCCTGAGAAGGAAAATATAATGTGAGTGAAGAAAACCAAATTGGCAGTACTCTTCAAAACAGAACGAAAACTACACATCATCAAAGATAAGTATAATTTGCCAATATTACAGTTCTAGGACATTTTTTTTTTCTTTAGCTATATATTTATTAATTCTTTTACTTGTTTAGGCATTAATTGATGTGATTTTAAGTATTTATATGAAACTTGTATTTATAAACTGTAGTGTAATATAAAATGCTTTCATACCTTTGTTTGAAATCCCATACTTTCTCTTGCAACCAATTGTAGTAGATTTTTCTAACTTTCTCATGTTTGTTTAAGTTTATGCTTTGCATATACAGTTACAGAGAACCTGCAGTTTGAATTGATCTTCCAAGTGTTGGATCTTTATTTATAGTGGCAATAGCATTTGATTACCCTAGCACAACTCTCATGAATACTTGTAAATGATTACTATTTTATAGCCTTTTGTTAGATTTGAATTTCATTTTATTGGGAATGTAACACTGTACTGATAGTTGATTTTATTTTCCCAATATTGTTTAATTGGTTATCAGTTTATAAGATCAAATTTTTGCTTGATCTTTATACATGGTTTTATGCATTTATCATTTTTAATTGAGTTTACAGATTAGTAATATCACATTTTTAAATGAGTTTACAAATTGAGTATCAAACTCATGACATCTGCCATACATTATACATTTGTTCATCTATAAACTCATTGATTTTTATTACAAATACAAAGTCCAGTCATATCTGAATTGAATTTATACATAATGGTTAATTAGTCGTTAGTTTTTAATTTCAACATTTTGCTTCATTGATAATAGTGATCAAATTTTTATTTTTTTCTATTATGCAAATGAGCCTAAAAATTATATATAGACTGTTGTCAAACTATTTGGTTTCAACTGTAAATCCCTACCCAAATACTTTCATAATATCTTAAATAATGCAAGTATTGAAATTTGCATTAGATATAGGCACTTTGATTTCAACAAATAAAAGTGCCTTAATCAAATGCAAATTTCCAAGGTTTTGTATAATAACTGTTGTCAAGCTATTAGGCTTCAATTGTAAATCCCAAATTAAATCCTTGCATACTATGATTCTAACCTAGTACTATTCTTTTACACTAAAGTCTGGTTTTTTTTTCTTTTTTCTGTTTACTTATAGCTTAAAACTGTTTTTACATAAACTATTAACTTTGAATGTATAACACAAGTACTAAGTTTAGTTAAATAAATAGGATTACAGGTTCAACAGATACTATTAATACAACACTAAGTTAGGAAATCATGACTCCAACTTAGATTTGTAACTCATGGTCATTAGTGTACTAAAAAACTAATCTAGAACCTTTTGAAAAACCTGAAATACTCCATGCCATCACTCCAGCTTAGATCTGTAAGCTTTTGTCATTTTGTGATTGAAATCTATTTACTAATTGAGTAAATTTAGTACTGTATTGTAATTTTATTTGATCATGCCAACTTAACTTATTAATACTTCTATTTTTACTTCATAAGTTGTAATTTAGTACACAGATAGACAACCTTTTTTTTTTAAAAAGTAGCCAGACATTGATAGTTTATATTTGCAGTTGTTTTCAGATACAAAGAGACATGGATCTGGATCTGGATATCAGTATAACAAAACAGTTCGCATCAAATATCTAGCAAGACTCAATAAGTAAGTTTATTTTCAAATAATACAAAAGATTTTACATTTACTTATGATGTTATAACTTCATTAATATGTATTTAATTATCTAATTCTAGATCGAGTTATCAAATGAAGATATAATTCATAAAGCATAATTAAATGAAAAGTTATGTACAACTAAAACACCCCATTAGCTGGTACTATTTAAACTGGAAATATAAGTAAAATAAACTTGAGAATAGAAATACAAACCAAAATAAGTAGACATAATATTCATATTGTCCTTAGAGTCCCAAAACATAAGACATAATTGAAAAGTAGTACATAGACTGACCGCATTAGGGAAACATTACAAAACATAGCATAGAAACCGCAAAAGCATTACATTTTTACCAACTTATAGACTGAAATAGTAGGTCTATTATAGTAGGAAGGCAGGTTGACTTCATCCATTAGAGACCTCTTCAGTGTGCTAAATAGAATAGAAACCGCAATTGCATCACATTTTTTCCAACTTAATCACTGAAGTCTTAAGTCTCTTAGAGTCATCAAACTGATTGAACTCATCAATTAGAGACCTCTTAAGTGTGCTTGCAACATTTCTAGAAGAACCACCTTCATCAAATCCAACCATTTCAAAATCACCAAAGTCATCCAGACCAAATGTATCCTGAAAAAAATTGAATAATACACATAGTGTTATTCAATTTTATAAAGAAGAAAACAGTTTAAATAGGAAACAATTAAACCTCATGAGCTTGTTCTGTTGCATCTAAATCACAGTCTATAACCCCACAGTGTTTTGAAACAATGTCAGCTTGTCTACAGAACCCTAACACCCCAATGCAGAGCTGAGACTGTCCACTTGATCTTTCTTCATAGAAATCCTAAATAGTATAGGCATCCCACAAATAGACTGCAACTCAGGTGGGATCCAACCTTTTGCATTCTGAGAAAAAACAATTTTAAGGAAATAAGCATAGGAACATCTATAGCATTACCAATCCCAAATTAGAGTACAAAAACCATTCTCACCTCGGCATACTTCTCTCTTAGGGATGAAGCTGAAACACCAACCAAATCATAACATTCCTTATCCCAAATGAGCATAGGTGCTTCACATGTACTGTTGGTTACACGAACAACCACCTTATACTTGACAGCCCCCTCATGCCAGCTACGGTCACACTTAGAGCAGTACATCAAACCTTCTCTTGGAGTTAGCTTTTTCCCACAGTTAGTTCCCTTACAAGACATGTAATACCAACCATCTGAACTGTCAACATCCATAATCCTAACAGCCACCCAATACTCACATAGCTGTGTAATAGCAAAAAAGAAGTTAGTTAGCCATCTGGATTTTTTTTTTTAAATAAAAGAGAAAAAATAATTTTTTACCTCCTTCCTGTTGTAAATCTCACTTAGAGAAGTTACAACAATATCATCACTCAGACTGTTACGATTTGGCCTAAATCCAGGTAGTCTAGAGCTTGAGTCCAACTTTCTTAATGGAGTTCTGTCAGATGACAGACTGGAATAGAAGGAATAAAAGTAAATAGATTCAATGAAGAACTGAGGAATTTAAAAATAGAAACAGAATGTATAATTTATACCTTAAACTTTTCTTAAACTCCTCAAAATCTGGCATTTTCTGATTGATCCAAATTTTTGTTGCATTAAATGAAGTTGATATGTGCACATCTCCATCTAGAAATAAAGAATATGCAATTTCAGGATAATGCCACTAAAAGATAAAAGAATAAATTAATAAAACTTGAGCAATGGAGTAGAAGAATAAGAGAACACATACTATCGAAGATCTTTGCCCTACAGAACTGTAGCAAAACAATCACTGGTTCTTCAGTGACTGTTGAGCTATAAATAGGCAGCAAACTGTTCACATGATCTTCCCAAAGAGTACATTGAATCTGATCTTGACTAAAAGAAATAAAAGAAAATTTTATTTTAAAAAGAATAGTAATATAAAAATTTTTAGGCTCACAGAAATGTAATATAAACATGTACACTCACTTGATATCTTCCAAAACAAAATCAATAAGCCTAGCTCTCTGTCCTGCTACAACCCTCTCCACTGGAGAATAGATTTCAGTGACCCTTCCAATCACATCTAGAAAAACAAATACAAACAGTTAGGTATTAAATAAGGATAGTTTTAAAAGTAAAAAAGTCAGTATTTAAAGATAAGAATATACCTATGAGCATCTTCTCATCAATATCATCCTTCCTAACCAAGGAAGATATTGATTTTAAACGAAAAGTCTTGTTAGGAAAACTGACTTTCTTGTACTCCTTAACCATAGTATCATGCTTAAATTTAAGCATGTAACGATGATTACTTGTCTTGAACTTCAAGTAGTTAGTAATGCAAAGGAAGTTCTTTATCCCATAAACACAACCTTCCTTGAATTTGGTCCATTTTTGCACTTGATCCTTAGGTATAGTACAATGAACAAACACACCCTAAATGAACACATTCAAAGGTATTAAACTGGAAAGTAGTGAACATAAGCAAATACAAAGAAATTTTATGTTAATAAAATCGAAAATACTACACCTCTACATCATGGAAAACACATTCCAGACTGCTAATCGCCTTGTTTTCTCTGTTTTCGTAAACAGCATATGTTCGCACCAGCCTAACTCGAATGGCCTTCCTATTGCACAGTGGAGTGAGCTGAGAAGCAAGAACAAACTGACCAGCCATCAAAGAAGAAGAGCTTGTGATTCGAATAGACTAATATTGAAAGGTTGCAATGTGCAATTGCTTGTATAAACATGTGTATTTATACTGAAAGCCATCACTTATGCTGTGTAAGTAATCATCACAGCTGAGTGAAAAAGAAGAAGAGCTGATAGTTCCAAGACCTGGTAGCCGGCTGAGGGAGATAATGCAGAGTCGCAGCAGTAGAATACTTATAGAAAGAGAAAAATTAGAAGATTAGAGGATTAGCTTAGTAGATAAAACCTAGATTTCTTATTCAAATATAATACGTTTCCTCTAGGACAGAAATCGGGAAACGAAACCCGTCCCCAAAACCAATCTTTTGAATTATTATCCTATAAAATAGGATTCCAAAACCAACAAAAACACTCATGCCCACTAAAATAGCTATAAAAAAAGGAAAAAATAGATACAATAACACGTTTCCTAGAAAAAATTAATCAGGAAACAAAATCCATCCCCAAAACCAATCAAATGAATGATTATCCTCTAAAATAGGATTCCAAAACCAAGAAAAACAATCATAGTATCTAAAATAGCTGAAAAAATAAAAAGGTTAAAATATATGGAAAATCTTTAGTTGTTGGGCGGGAGAATGAGAGCCAAAATCTCCTGGCTATATTGGTATAAGATTCTAATAAGAGCCAATAATGTTAAGCCCTTAACTGGAACAAAAAAAATGTCGGTAGTATTGTTTCTTAAAATGAATGGTTCATATTATTTTAAGGGTGAATCAACGATTTGGTCCCTCACTTATTCACGACTTGTCAATGTTGCCCCTGAATCACGTATTCATCAATTTAGTCCCCAAAAATAATTGTTTTTCGTCAAATAAGTCCCTCAGGCCGTTTTCCGTCATGTCTCAGGCGAGACCTCCGATTTGCCCTGGGCATTTTGGTCTTTTCACGCCTTCTTCTTCATTAACTCTGACCAAACTTCGCCGGAGAAGCTCAAGCTCGCCGGAAAACTCCATTGCCGGTTTGCTGCTTCGCCGGGAGGGATCAACTGCCAGGGGCGGAGGTCGCTGCTCCGATCTGCTGCTTCCGCCTCTTCGTGATTCCACCAGAGAGAGGGAGGGGAGATGTAGGTCCATGGACCTTGTCTCGCCGTCGGATGTTGTTGTTGCTCAGCTTTTACCGAGAGAGAAGAGATCGAGACGGAGCTAGCCGCCGCCTATCGCCGCGATCGGCCGGGGGATCGCCGCGGCACCCCCAACGCATCGTTGGATTACAAAGCTCCAATGAATGCCGGAAATCACAATGCATAAACATCATTCTCCAGCAGCAGAGTAGAAGATATTTATTCCCTTATTTAGCTTACTCTTTTCAAAATCACTAAATGCAACATAAGCATATACAAATTTAGCATCGGAGTCATATGTATTGAGAGAGAGAGAGAGAGAGAGAGAGAGAGAGAGAGAACCTCGTGAAGTTGATCCATGTCGGATTCCATTTTTTGTTTCGGCGCCTCTTCATTTCCACCCGAAGAAGACGACGGTATTGATGTGGCAGGGCTCCCATAATCTTCTTTTGCTTTCTCGTCCTTTACACTACTGTGACTAAGGTTTTGTTCCTCTTTCTTCCCTTCTGCCTCATCGGTCTCGTTAAGTTCGGTATCGCTAGCAATCTCGTAGCCATCGGAACCATATCCAGATGCCGCCGGCGCAGCCGCAGAGGACGAACCAGCGCCTGTCGATGCTTCAGCCGCCTTGACTGGTGGCGGTTTTGGCTTTGACGTTTCGTCAGAGGATGGCACGGCTTCGATCAACACCATTGCTGCGTTGCTTTTTCTCTGTTTGATTGTCTTCCCCTGGAGTAGACCGGGGCGTAAAAATGTTGTAGTGTTGCTTTGATTTGCTTGCGATTCTGGAAAGCTCTGAAATCGGAGGTGAAGCTGACGTCGGCGGAAGAGATGAAGCTCCCTCCGGCGAGCTTGAGCTTCTCCGACGAAGTTTGGTCAGAGTTAATGAAGAAGAAGGCGTGAAAAGACCAAAATGCCCAGGGCAAATCGGAGGTCTCGCCTGAGACATGACGGAAAACGGCATGAGGGACTTATTTGACGAAAAACAATTATTTTCGGGGACTAAATTGATGAATACGTGATTCAGGGGCAACATTGACAAGTTGCGAATAAGTGAGGGACCAAATCGTTGATTCACCCTTATTTTAATTTTAGTATTTTTTTAATGATTTTCCTTATTTACCCTCTATTATATTATTTTCTTCCCTTAAATAACCTAAATTCTGTTAGTATAAACTTTAGTAACTGAATATTCCGTTAACTATTTATTATTTTTAACTTACTCATTAATTTCTATAAAAAATGTCTTAGGGTTCGAACCTCATCTCAATTAGAGTTAGCATAATTGTTAAACATATACTAAATGTATTATATGTTGGAAAAATAGCATTAAAATGATATTTTGAGTGATTATTTTGTGGTACAAATATATGTGGGATCCACTTCCGATTTGGGTCAGGTCAATGTGGATTCGGGTTCTTCGTAGTGAGACGAAGAATTTGATATAATGTACGCTCAAAATGGGTAATAGGTGAAAGAGAAATTGATTTTCAAAGTGAACCTATTTGAGAGAAGTCAAATTAAGTTTAAGATTAAGCTTAATTAGTGTGACAACATGAGTTATCAAGCTTGAGAATAAGCTTTTGGGAAGCTTAATTAATGTGCTAATTTGTTAGCATGAAATGGAATTGGGACGAAAGTTTGCATGGACGAAAGTTTGCTAAATGTAATTAAACATTGAAAGCTTAATTAGTAAATTAAGCTTTTGGGCTCCTTTTGTGTAAGCTCCTTTCGTGCAGCACGAGTTGGTGCTTTTATGCATTGATTCGTGTTGCACCATTTTGGTGCTTATGGACCACTCGGGTGTGGTTTCCAGTCCAAATTTGTTAAACCTTCGAGTTTGTACGGACTTCTCGGTCACTCAGATATTTTTTGAAACTGGTCGTTATAGTCGGTACGAATTAATCGGATATTAAGTTCGTGACCGTTGATATTATTTCGATAATAAGTACGACCGTTTCAAATGTTATAATTCAATTTTTAAAATTGAATTTATGTTGGTTAATGTGTCATGATGATGCTATTAAGTACCAACCTCCTATATAAGTGTGTAGTGGGAGTAGAGGTCTTTCAACTGCATAGAGAGTGTAACACCCCGAAATTTCGAAACATTTTAAAACTTATAAAACAAAGGTGAAATCTCATTAAATCCCAAAACATAATACAAGAGTACGGGGTGCTATGCCACACCTGAGCTAGAGAACTCAGGTGCACAGGCTAACTAACTAATATCCTCAATAATGTAAACGCATAAACATGGCACGTAGGCCGAAAGGGAAACTATCTACTTCTATGCTCCAAGTTCTAGCGCGCTCCAGTGACTTACTCTTCTGTGCCTGAAAGCCAAATATATCTGTTCAGCGAGAGATGCTGGTAACCCACTCCAACGCGTTGAAATACAATATATATATATATATATATATATATATATATATATATATATATATATATATATATATATATATATATATATATATATATATATATACATAGATATACGAAAAGTCATTTCGAAGCATGAAGATATATCCTAAGAGACTCTAGCTTTCAAATCAAGGAACCGACTCGACGAATAGGGGTACACACAGTCTACAGTCATAACCAAGCATATACAATTCTCACACAGGAAACAGTCATAGATAAGCACAACCAATAATCACAATTAAGCATTACTAGCAAGAGCCCTATAACAGTCACAACATCAACCCTTCTTATCTCATCATATAGCACACTTTGTTGGCGCCACAGGACCAATCGCATGCCCATACATGAGGGTCAGCGCATATAGCTCTGACACGGCCCTGCAGCACCCTGCCCCGTCTCACACTACGGAGAGGTCGATCGCAACCGACCGATGAGCCGCAGCTCTATATAATATTTATATACCTGACCGGTCTTTACCAGCCTGGTTAACAGTTGGGATGGTTCTCAACCCATTCAACTGCCCGTATAGTGGACCTTTGTCCTATATAATATTTATATACCTGACCGGTCTCTACCAGCCTGGTTAACAGCTGGGATGGTTCTCAACCCATTCAACTGCCCGTATAGTGGACCTTAGTCCTATATAATATTTATATACCTGACCGGTCTCTACCAGCCTGGTTAATAGCCGGTATGGTTCTCAGCCCACCCGACTGCCCGTATAGCCCGATTGATCTCAACTAAATCGGGGTAACATGCACACATAACACATAGCAAGCACATGCAACCCACGTTTACACATTGGGAAGGGGGAGAAAACGTATAACAAAACCTATGGGTGATCCTTCACATACTAAGAATATTCCTAAGGGCAGGGACGGAGCCAGGATTTGTTGGTGCGGGGGGCCATTCACAATTTGAAAGAGAATAATTAAATACATTAATATTCATTTAACATAGTCCAAAATACATCATTATATTATAAAGTCTTGAGGGTAAAATTTCTCCACCAACTTGCAAACATCATCAATTCTAAATGATCAAGAGTCGTGAGCCGTCAGTCCACAAGGAATCACCATTAACCAAAGAGCAAACATTTCTTAAATATGGGTAGTTCACATATAAACATTGTCAGAACCCTTTAAACAAATTCAAATCAAAAGTGTGGATCAATAAGAAAAAAATTCATTAATTTTAGAAAAATGAATCTGGGAAACAAAAAAAGAATAAGAAATATGAAGCCTTTTAGACAATATGTGATTGTGTATGTTCAAGAAGAAGAAATCATATTCTTGGCAAGGCCAGTTGCGAATCAAATGGCAAATTATGCTGTGGAACCGTGTCCACCTTGTAAGGTGGACATTGTTCCAAAACTATTCATAATTATGAATATATAGTTCAAAAGTTATGAACATATAGTTCTATAATTATAAACATAGAGTTGTGAACATAATTATGAACATATAATTCTGTAGTTATGAATATAAAGATTCAATAATTGTGAATATGAAGTTCAAAAATTATGAATATATAGCTTTATATTTATGAATACATAGTTCTGTAATTATGAACATAGAGTTCCGTAATTGTGAATATAAAGTTTAATAATTATGAATATGAAGTTCAAAAATTATGAATATATAACTTTATAATTATAAACATATAGTTCAGTAATTATGAATATAAAATTGTGTACACAACATAACTATTGGAATCAAATAAGATTTTGAAATCTTAGCCTGAAAGTTTTTGTTTGGAGAATAAAAATACTTTGGTGAGGGGCGAAGGGGCT